GTTGTAAGCTTCTTTATTGGCATATCAGGGGACAATGGGAAAGCAGTATTTATATAATGTTGAAACAGAAGATACACAGAACATGAGGGGGGTTACAGAAATCAGCATTTGAATTACACAATAATCTTATGTCTGCATCTGTCCCTCTTAGTCTAATAAAGGGTTCTTTCTCTTATAGTAACAAACTATATGTAACAATAACAACTATAAAAATCATTAGGTAAGATTTATATTTGTATTTTTGGTACTCTTGGATAAAGCATTCTACTATCTATCAATTTCTATCATCATAAACAATTTAAGTTTAACTATGAGACTATAACTATCTAGTCTTCAACCCCATCAGAGAATTAAGAAGAAATAAATATTCTCGTAAATATGTATCAAGTGCAGGCAAGCAGCTTCCAAAAGTATAGAAATGACAGAGCTATTTGGCTGCCTGGACAGTTCCTACCAAATTTCTCTATAACATTAGAACATCATCTTCAGCCTTTTGGCTCAAAATATTTGACGGACTTTTCTGTGAAGTGGGAATTATAAAGGACTTTCCTACCTTGTTGTTAAAAGCTCAGCAGTTGACTCTCCTACACCCGTTTTGTCCAGTTTGGGGCAGTATTCTGTCTATAACTGATGCAAGGACATTTTCTCACTGAGTGGCTACCTTATCACATATGAAGCCTTTGGTGTTCTTTGAGGGAGAATGGGGGTGCTTCCAGGAACAGACCTGTCTCATGTCAAAAAAGCCTTACATTAATAAAATATTTAAATGCCATATTCTGTAGGTCTCTGAGGCTTTGAAGACCATCTATCTATCTATCTATCTATCTATCTATCTATCTATCTATCTATCATCTATCTATCTATCATCTATCTATCTATTTATCTATCTATCTATCTCATCTGAACTGTTTTTTTCTAGCTATTTTTAATCTGTCAACCTAAGAAACATATTTTTGTAATTAACTAAGTTAGTATCTAACATGACCATGAGTTTGATTGTCTGACTGCTAATATACCTTTTCTTAATTATCCTAAACAGATGGTAATAGCAGCTTCCACAAGGACTAGAACTTAACATTGCAGTTTTAAGGATTACATTGGTACAATACCTTACCATGTTATAACAAAAGAGAATACCAAAGATCTACACTAATGTGATTTTTGGCTTATTAATGCTCTTTGGCCTAAAAGTACTTACCATTCCTATAACCAACCCTTGTAAAATGATAACAGACATCTATCACCCACAGAATGGCCAAAAGCCATCCACCCTTTCTTGGAAATGAGGCGTAGTTTTCTTGAAAGTGCTTTCCACCGATTGGGGACATAGTTTTTCTTTTGGAGGGGCTAAGAAAGTTGGGATATTGTCCAATCTTAAGAAAGTTAACTGTAGCACTTGCTGCCAGGTTCCAGATGTCGAGAAAGTTCAGAGTTTAACTGAAGTCCTGACTGGAACAGTCTGTGATGGATGATGTGGGTAGCCATTTTGCAATTATCCCAGATGCAGATTTTTGAGGAAAAAGTTATTGAGGTTGCCTTTGAGGTTGCATCACCTGGTCTACTTGTTTTGCTGTTTTGTTTTTGGTGTCTGGTTCTCTTGTGCTGCAAAATATTAACTTTCAAAGGTATTATACATTTTTGTATTAATACGTATATATAAGAATAAATATATATGTATATATAATACATATATACAAAGGAGTGGAGACTCAGCAACGTTATATCAAAGCTGTAAAATGCAAAAGTCAGGATTCAAAATCTGTTGTCTATAAGCAACCCAGTTCAAGATGGAGGCTCCATGGTAATAAACGCGTCTCTGAGCACTAAGATTGTATTCTTTTTATTTATATGTATGTGTGTGGGTGTATGCCACACGTGGTGCTGCCTGCAGAGACCAGAAGAGAATGTCAAATTCTTGGAGCTGGATATATATATAGCCTGCATAGACTGTGGCCTTTCCTACACTTAGCCTACAGATTCTGCTCCTTTGCATTTTTGTTGATTCCCCCAGGGAGAAATGCCTCCACCTGCCCAAATGCCATGGGAAAGCTGTTTCCTTATTCCAGCTTAGAGTATTCAAAGACACTAGGATAATAGCAAGAAGAGTGACGAGAACTATTCTGGATCATTTCTTCTCAGTGCCTGCTTGGAATAAAAGCTTCCAAGAAACCCAATCAAGGGTTCCAGGGCTGTAATTACCAGGAGTACCCTGGTTCTGTTGTCTCTCAAATTCACCTGTAATCCCCACAACAGTCACTGGAGCGTCACTACAGGAGACACAAACAGTCATGCTGGGAATAAAACTCAGGTCCTCTGGAATAGCAGGAAGCACCTGGATGAGCCATGCAGCCATTCTGATCACTGAGAATGAGAACCACAAGAAAAGCGGTGATCCCACTGATCATGAAATGAAAACTACCACCTAAACTAAAGCCAGTTAAGCAATCTTTATTTACTGTGCATAGGACTGACTCTCCAAATTGGGATTTGAGAGAGCTGTGTGTGAGTTCACTTTTCAGGTCTCTTCTTATATGGAAAAAGCACAAACTAGGGATTTTTCAAAGGAATCTGGTGACATAAGGATTTGGCAAATACAGATGCAGACAGATTATATTATTTGACAGATCATCTTATCAGGGTAGACTACACCTGAGGTGTGAGTCAAACTCCATAGACTGGGGAGCATATCAAATTCCAGAAAAGCAAATTCCAGGTTAAAGCATGGTTAACTTGAACTTATCAGCCAACAGAAATGAACTTACTTTGACCTTATAACAAAAATGGCTTTTAAGATGAAATCAGGATAGTCCTCCAAAAGAATATAAGATGCTACTCTTTGAATGCCCTACCCCCATCCCCACCACCACCAAGCTCATGTGTTGGGAATGGAATCTCCAATATAATAGCATTGAGAGGCAGGACATTTAGATGAACTCATGGCTGTTGTTTCTGTGTATTGAGTATTGGGAAGGTGGATTTGCTAACTTCGGTCTTCTTGCTTTTTCTTGTGTGTGTGTGGTGTTTTGTTTTGTTTTGTGATAGCTTCAGCCAGGTTATGTTGTGCACCAGATGTACTTCTCAGATGCCACTACTGTGAAAAAATGCATCTGGGCACGGGGGTGCACACAAGTAATCCTGGCACTTGGGGAAGCAGAGGCAGGTAGATCACTGTGAGTTTGAGGCCTGCCTTGTCTACAAAGCGAGTCCAGGACAGCCAAGGCTACACAGAGAAACCTTGTCTCAACAAACAAATGAAAACATATTATAAATTACCTGGCCAGTGATATTCTGCTAAAGCAACATTAAATGTAGTAAAACAGTAGCCCTCAGCTCACCCAGGAAGTTGTGAGCCCTTCCTTTCCCTTGGCCTCTATGTAGTTGTGGGTTCTTCCAACCCTAGGCTTTAGCAGGAAGAAAGCCAGGTCATCTCAGGTGATTCTTACTTTTATTTCCAGGTGCTGACTAGTTCCCACACTGTGAAGTGCTACCTGGTCTAAGACAGTTGTCTTCTGATGTCCTTACAGAGCATTTTGCAGAGAATCGTCACACCAGAGAATTTCAGGGGCTGGACCAGCAATAGGCAACTCAGCTTTTCTCAATGGAAGCTCTGTGGCTTCTGCAAGTGAGGAATTTTGTTTTTAACTTAAAATTATAAATGTAGGCCGGGTGGTGGTGGCACATGCCTTTAAGCCCAGCACTTGGAAGGCAGTGGCAGGCAGATCTCTGAGGCCACCCTGGTCTACGGAAGAGTTCCAGAACAACCAGGGCTATACAGAAAAAAACCCTCTGATTTAGTCACTGAAGTTACAGGCAGCATGGGTACAAATCAAATTAGGAAAGGGACCATGGTAGGAGATGGTTGTACGTGTGAGACTGCATGCTCAAATCTTAGTGGACTTGAAAACAAAAAATTCATGTTCAGCTGGTTAGTCAGTCTGTCCAGGACTCTAATCCATGCAATGATCCCACTCACATTTAGAGTAGTTTTTTGTTTGTTTCTTTTTTTTTTTTTTTTTTTTTTTTTTTTTTTTTTTTTTTTTTTTTGTTTTTTTTTTTTTTTTTTTTTTTTTTTTTTTTTTTTTTTTTTTTTTTTGCCCCACAGCTAAACCTCTCTGAAAACACCCTCAAAAGCAAGCCCAGAGGTGTGCCCTCTAGGAGATTCTAAAGTTAGTGATAGTAATGAAGATAAACCTTTGTATTGGTAAATGCAATTTTTAAGGGTTGATGGTTTGCTCTCTGCTGAAAACTACCATATCTTTCAAAGGCATCTTCTTGTGGCATCTGAAAGATGGCTTAAAATAGAATGGGTTCACTATTTTATCAGAACACTGATCCCATACAAGAGGAGCTGACATGACTTAGTAATCTTTCAAAAGCCCCATTTCTTGACTTCTTCACCCTGGTGTCTACCAGTTCAACCTACGAATTTGGGGATGGGGGGACACACAAGCATCTCTTCAGCATTTTCCTACAGTGTTAGATTTGCCAAATGTCTTCTGGTATGGGTTTTGTTGCTCAGGCTGTGATTTAAAGAAATTACTATCTTTGAATTTATCTCCTGAACAGATTTTAAATTATGTGTATGTGTGTGAATATGCAATGTGTGCAATTGCCTGTGAGGACTAGAGACCCCAGCTCTCCTTGGAGGTAGGGGCACTTGTATGGGGAACTGAACTCAGGCCCACTGAAATTAAAGAACATTCTCTTAACCACTGAGCCATTTCTTCAGCTCCCCATAATTGCCTCTTTCCAGATTTAATATACCTAGAAGACAGCCCACAGATAACAAGTAGAATTTAGTAAGAAATGACTTTAACAAAACAAGAGCAACAACAGAAACTCTGTAAACAGAATTAATAACTGTGTAGATTATCTCCAGTTCACAGCAGTACCGGGAGGCCAGCTTCTTATTTTCCATTTTTAATAAAATCCACACAGGACATTTGAAATCAGGCAAAGAAAAGATAAATTCCAGAGACTAAAAGGTAGATTACAATTCATTTCAATGTTTTATTTTGGCCCTTTTTTTTTTTTCTTAAAAATGTATAATTTCTTTGATCCCTTTGGGATGTTATTTAAATGTTATGAAAAATACCAGTGTAGTTTAGTGTCTCTCTGTGGAGTCTGCCACATTTCGCTGTGTACTTACATGCTTACGATTACACAGCTCCAGAGAGAAAAACACCGTTTTATAGACGCCCGAGTCTTCAGTTGTGAATTCTTCATCTTAGGTTACTGATTTTTTTGAGACAGGCTCTCCCTAGGATTGCTCAGGCTGCTTCAAATTCATGGACTCAAGCAATCCTCATGCCTCAGGGTTTTCAGTAGCTCAGGCTACATGTATGAAGCACTATGCCTGCATCTCAAGTAATTTTTAAAAGCGTCTTTCAAGCATGGATACTTTCCTCCTACCTGTTGCACAAAATTTATCCGAGGGTTAGTTGAGGAAAACTAAATAAGCACAGGTCCCCATATTCATTACGCTTATTTCATCTCTCAAGCACTTTCTCTGAAGAGCTTTGGTTTAAGGCTTTTACACATGCAAATCTACTTTTTAAGGGTCCTCATCCACATGAATTTTATAATGATTGGTAAGGGATGACCTATGGTTGAAAACCTTCCCACATGTGTTACATTCATAGGGTTTCTCTCCAGTATGAATTCTCTGATGTGCAATACGTGAAGAGCTTTGCCTAAAAGTTTTCCCACAGGTGTTACATTTAAAGGGTTTCTCACCAGTATGAATCCTTCGGTGCTGAATAAGAGCTGAACTTTGACCAAATGACATCCCACACTCCTGACATCGATATGGTTTCTCTCCAGTATGAATCCGCTGATGGTTACTTAGGGATGAGTTACATCTGAATGTTTTCCCACACTCGTTACATTTATAGGGTCTTTCTCCAGTATGCATTCTCTGATGCTGGATCAGAGCTGAGCTCTGTCTGAAGGCTTTCCCACAAACTTTACATTTGCATGGTTTCTCTCCAGTGTGAATTCTTTCATGAATAATAAGAGTTGAGTGGGAACTTAAGGCTTTGCCACATTCATTACAATTATAAAACTTCTCTCCTGTATGAATTATTCGGTGTCTGTTGAGTCTTGAGATGGAAGTGAAGCCTTTTCCGCATTCATTACATCTGTAGGGCTTTTCTCCAGTGTGAATTCTCTCATGTTGAATAAGCGAGGCACTCTGACTGAAGGCTCTGCCACACTCGCTACATTTGAAAGGTTTCTCTCCAGTGTGGATCCTCTGATGGTAACGAAGGGATGAGCTAGACTTAAAGGTATTGCCACACTCATTACATAAGTAGGTCTTCTTTCTGGAGTGAGTTCTCTGACATCCTGGAAGGGACGTGGATGCCTTCCTACCTGGGTTGTATTTATGAGAATTTTCTCCAGCATGGACTTTCTGGTGTACAAAAAGATCTGACCTTCGGCCAAAGGATTTACCACATTCCTTACACCTGTAGGACTTCTCTACAGTGTGGGTTCTTAGATGTTTATAAAGGGATGTACTGAGAGTGAAGGCTTTGCCACATTCTTTGCAAACATAAGGCTTCTCTCCAGTATGAGTTATTTGATGTTGAATAAGGGCTGAACTTTGGCTAAAGGCTTTTGAACATTCTTTGCATTTAAATAATTTCTCTCCACTATGGTTTTTCTCATGTTTACGAAGAGATGAGGTGTTGATGAACGTCTTCTCACACATACTACATTTATAGCGTTTATCTGGAGTGATCTTTGATTGATTAGATAAAAATGATGTCTTCTTGAAAGTGTTTCGTTTTTTACATTCTGGTGATCTTTTTTCTCTATGTGACTTTGGGCTAAGATAATTGCTTTTATGGATTCTTTCTATAGTCAAAGTATTCTTATCCTGCTTTTCCTCTAATTTGCCTTCATACATGAAAAGGTTTTCTGACTTCATGCTCAAAGGTTCATTTCTTTTAGATTTTCTCATAATCAATTCCTGATATTGGGTTTGAGTTGATTTTGTGGTTCTGTGACTGAGCTTCAATCCTAGAAAGGGAAAAAGAAACCAGAAATGTTTCTTGTGATATAAAAATTGACTACCTAGGCTAGATATTTAGAGTGAAGAAATTCTAATGCTGTTTAAATAGAGTCTTGGTATGTGGTTAAATATAAGGAGGGTGGAATAGAAGAGTTAGTATAGAAACATAACTGATGGAAACGTATGTAGTAAAGAAAAACAATAAAATAAGGCAAACCCACCTCAAAATGATGATTAAACAGGGTCAAGAAGCTAGGAAAGGCAGGATCCAGAATCCACAGAGTCCATAATAGGCACCTACATTGCCACCTGCTAAGTTTGCCTTCCCCCCCCATCCACCAACAGTATCTTTCAGATTCAATTTAAAAGTTTACTGTGAGAATCCTTGCTTAACTTTGATTATCTATGGTCCTTTTCTCCAGCCAGTATTTCCTGTTTTCTGAGACAGAATCTCAGTCTGTAGCACAGCTCTCCTTCAACTCATGACCACCTGCTTTAGCCTCCTGAGTGCTGGGATTATAGGTGACCACTTCTGAAGTACTGATGTATTATTCTGTACCTCTCAATAATTAACAAGCAGATCAGCTTGTTCTACTTCTCACAAATCCTCTTGATGGTCTCCCATATGTGTGTATATGTGTACATACACACACATACACACACACACACACACACACACACACACACAGAGAGAGAGACCTAACTTTCTATTTTGAGATGGAGTCTCTCTATACAGCCTCAGTTGGTAGACTATGCTGGCTTGGAACTTACAGCAACCTCCTTCCTCTGCCTTCCAAGTGCTAGAAATATAGGCTTGTTTAGTAAATCTTACTTATACCTACCTAATTTGAAGAAAGTCAAATAGTCTTGATTACTTAAACATGAATTTCATATATATTAGTTACAAGCCTGCATAGAACTGCCTTCCCAAACAGAACACAGATTATTAGAAAGATCTCATTAAATTAATTCTACAAGTACCCTAAGGCCACAAACTGTAAGCTGAAAAGGCAGCCTTATCCAAGCAACAAGCAAGAGAGGTGTTAAGATTTGAGTTTGAAATGGAAACTAAAGGCTCATATATTAAAAAGCATCACTATTAGCTGTCTGGGTAGTAACTAGATCATTAATGGATTCCCAGCCCAATGGGATCAGAGAGAGATGGTGGAAGTCAGGAGGTGGAGCCTTGCAGGTTACTGGAGGAGTATCCTGTACATCTTGTCCTTACTTTCCCTCAACTTCTGGACTGCCATGAAGTGAGCAGTTCTCTTCTGCCATACATTTGCACACATGATGCTCTGCCTCACTACAGGCCCAGAAGCAAGGCAGCAAAGCAGCCATGGACTAAAACTAAAGCCACAAGACAAAGCCTCTCCCCCTTTAAACGTTTTTTCTCTGGTTTTTGTCACAGCGATGAAGAGTCTGACACACTACCTCTGGCCTTCCTGTAAAGAAAGGCTGCAGTTCTGACACTTTGCCCTTACTAGAATTCTGAGCACTTCAGTCAGGCACTGTATGCGCATCTTCCCCATAGCTGAAGTGTGGTAAATTCTTGCCACCAGCTCTGGATTCTCCTTCATGGGTTCTTATTATACCTTTAGTATTGAACTTTCTTCCCTCTATGATGCCACCTGGTTTCAAAGCTGTCACATGAGTGACTTTCCCACTTTGCTCAGAGTAATTCATAGTAGTACCTTTAAACAGTAGCTACAACATTCATTTAAATATGTTCTTTTTGAAATTAGCCTGCCCACATCTGAGCCAGTGCACTCCTGTAAGGAGCCAGCCTAGCATGGCCATAGGCATCTTGAGCGTAACTACCAACCTGTATGAGCTGGCATACATTCCAGACCCGGCAAGGTAGTCACTAACATTGGTAGCTGAGTATGTGCTGTTTGCTAGCTTTGTTTGCTCTTAACTGCCACTGAACCCATTAACAGTTTTGAGAAGTCTGGGTCTATCCAGTTGGCCACAAGCTGCCTTTACCTAGGAACCTTCATTGAGCTACCCAAGATGTGCATTCATCTCTAAGTTCACAGTGACATGCACTTTGTGCAGTGCTGTGCCTGTTTGTGTCTTCAGTCTTTCAGCCTTCTCTGCTTTTGCCAGACTCTTCTTGTACACTGTTTTTACCAGAGCAATTTATTCTATTTTTAAAAGTTTTATTTTTATGGTTATGTGTATGGTCATGTGGGTGCAGGGCCTATGGATGCCAGCAGAGGGCACTGGACTTCTGGAACTCAACTTGTAAGCCACATAAGCTATTCAATGCAGGTACTAGAAGTCAAATTCCAGGTCTCTGTGGAGCAGCAAGCCCTCTTAACTACTGAACCATCTCTGGAGCCCAAAGCAAGATACTTTTCAAGGCCTTTTCTGATTCTTAGTTCAGATTGACATGGTAAACTTTTCAGTAGCTTGCTTTTCCATAATTTTTTTTGTCATCTTTCAATCTTCTATCACCTGTATACACGAGTAGTCGGTCATCAAATTCTCTTCTGGTCCACCAGTGAAAATACCTAGCAATTATCACTAATCCAAGTTCAGGATCTTATTCCAGAGGGACCAGTGCAATTTACTCTCACTGTTCCTGACTGTAGGGTGTCATCTTTCTGGCACTGCTTCCTTAAGAACTAACCTACACACCTCCTCTTGCTACTTCAGAAAGCACCGATTCCTCATTTAATAATTTATCAAATAAAACAATAAATACCTAACTGCAACCTACACATGGGTGAGCCTCAGTAAGTTTACAATTTGGCACAGGAATAAAGAAATCAATAGGTAGTCATGGATGGGCATGTTGGCTCATGCAGACAATCTCGGGATTCTAAAGCAAGAGGACTTCTGCTAGTTCAAGGCCAGCCTGCACTATACAGTAAGTTCCAGACCAGCCTGAACTAGAGGGAGACCTTGTATTTAAAGAGGAAATCATACAACAACAGAAATGAAAGTTAGAAGTGGGTAATATAAGCACAGAGAACCATCAAAATTCTCCTTAGATAGTGAGGGTGCAGGTAAGGAAGGGGCCTGAGTGCTGGTTAGAGTTTTCTGACACTCAAGACAGGATCTTAGAGTCAGCAAAGGTTATACAGGTTGAAAGAAGTGTCAGTCTTGGTATCCAAGCCAAGTTTCCGGATCTCTTTCCTGAAGTGCCCCTCCTGACTTGCAGAAAGGACATATGAGGACATAATGTGGGCCAAGGGAGGGGAAGGGCTGATGCAGCTACATGCTTAAAAACCCCTAAGAATATGGCACCACTACAAACTGAGAAGACACAAGGATAGTTTCCATCCTGTCTCAGAGGGTACAGGGCCATGGCAAACCTGGCCTTTCAACCTCCAGAATTAAGACAATGGATTCTAATTGTTTTAAGCCACCCAGTTGTTTTTAGCTGTGGTCTCTGGCATATCACTGTGAGCCCTCACGTCTCTTCCACTAAACTAAGGCTAAAGCTGTTCCCAGCCATCATTTCATCATAAATGTGTCAGAACCACTCATATGACCGCACCCACGTTAACACTGTTATTTGCAGGTCATTGGTTTATTTGTGGTTTATATGGGAAAATCACTCCCACCTTCCCATATAAACCACAAATAAACCAAACTGCCCTGACGCAAAGTCATTTGCAGCAATCTCTATGTTCTAAGCCACAAACCTCAAGTGCAATTAGTCATTTGCTTCATATGGCCTTTGATATTTAGAGAGGGCTTCTTCCTTTATTCATGCTGTGCAGTCATTCCTGTGTTGTCTATGTAACTAGAAGCCTACTCTAGCCAGCATTGGAAAACAGAAATAAATGAAACAAGTGCTTCCACGTACAGGTGAGGAGGAGGAGACAGATCAAGAGCACATGCTACTATGTAGTGATGGTGTGTGGAAGGGAAATAAGCACACTTAGATGAAGAACATGGAGGGTGGAGCCATGTTTTAGATGAGTGAGGTTTGTTCCACTAAAGTGGCAACTGGGCGGAAACCTGTGAAACACAAGGAACTCAACACAAGCGCTCTCGTGACTCCTCAGCCCTGTGCAGACTCTCAAATCCTAAATCAGCCCATTTGCTGGGCACGGGAGAATCTCCTGCCAGTGTCTCCTGGACTCTTCTACCTTTCTCCTGGGTCAACATTGGCTCCTTTAGTCACTAAGCTAGATGACACTCAAACTTCACCTCCCAGACAGACATGCACGAGCACAGAGCATGGGCTATTGGTTCCTTCCATCACCACTCCCTAAGTTGGATGATACTCAAGCTTTACCCCCCCCAGACACACATACACACACGCACGCACGCACGCACGCACGCACGCACAATGGCTCCTACCCTGTACTTAGAACACTGTGTGTCATTCTCTATTAGTCCTCACTGAACTTCTCCACATGGCTGACTGAGGAGGCTTGGCTTCCTCTCCTCCCTGCACCAAACACTCCATAAGCACAGGACCCTGCTTTATCCATCTACTTCCACTTCGCTGGCACCCAGCACACAGCCTATTGAGCATCTATGAAGGGCAAAGCAAGCAGTGAAAGTCTTGGTTCAGCAGTGAGGGGCTTCCCGGACTCATCAGCCCTAAGTGTCTATCACCATAGCAACCATCTCTCCAGCACGTCCCTTCAGGTCACATCAGGTCAGGTTCAAGAGGTCTTTCCTCTTAACCACCTTGCAAAAACAGTTTCCCAGGATCCTACTCCCACCTGGTCACCTCAAAGCTTCGGGGCTCTGACCGCACTTGTGAGTTCCAACCCATCCACCTTACAGAATTCCCCAGTGGAGATCCGTATCCAAGTAACTCACGCACATCTGGAATGAAAACCACTCCCACCTGAGACTCATCAAACGGGGTCTCTCTGGACTCCTGACGACAGTCTTCATCTACGCCCCACTAACTTTCTACTTTCACTTGTACAGCAGCTCCCTGAGGCTCCCTGGCTGGGCCTCACTTTCAGTCCATCCTCCATAGCACATGCCACAGTACTTCCTGAAGAACATGGAGTCTGAGGACCTGTGATTCTCTGATGCCAGCCCCCAGCTCCTTCTTCCTGCTCTGGAGGCAGAAGAGCCAGGCTCGGCTGTTGGGGCACTTTGGGAAATGTTCTTTGTACAAATTTGAAACATTACATGGAAATATAATTTCCCCAGAGTAATTTTAAAGGGTACATTGCCTCCAAACCCTTCTGTCTGTGCTCATGTGTACAGCAAGTGTGCGTGGCACACACACACACATTTTTTTTCCAACCTAGTGGTTTCAGCCTAATGGTGCACTGAAACTTGCCTCATTCCTTCCCACTCCCTGGAGCTGTCTTTATCGCTTTATCGCAGGTAGTGATGATCACTACCTGTACAAGGATACACCCCAGTTTCCTCAGCTGTTTTACTTAAAGACCTTTGAACTGTTTCTGAGTAGAACCAGCGTTCCCAAAGCTATCACACTACAGTGGTCATTTATGTTTCAGTTGTCCTCACGCAGAACACAGCTCTCAGAACTGCACCAAGACACTTATTTCAAGACCCTTAAGACTCTTCCATTTCATTTCCTTCATTACCTTTTCCTTTGCACTTTGAACTTCAGCCTGAGTGAGTTCTCTATCATCCTTTAAATATACATGAACGAACACACACCCTAGGAATTGAACCCAGGGCTTTATGGGCACCAGGAAGGTGTTCTTACGAGCGCTGTGCTCCATCTCAGCCTCTGATGACTCCTTGTGGACTGAGAACCTGAAGATGTTTCCCAGCCCACACTCCAAGCCACACCCTCTCATTCTCCACATTGGGCCTGCCAGGCCTGCACACTCACTCACCGAGAGAGAAGCCTCTGGGACCTTCTTTCTCCACTTTCCAGGGATCCTTTCCTTGCTGCAGCAGGGAGATCACCTTTGGTTTGGTAAACAGGAATCCTGCTTGTAGACAAAATTAACTCATTAACTAAAAGCCAGACAACCACACAAGACTGAGAAATCAAGTGTGTCTAAAACGTTTGCCCCACATGGCCCTTTGCAGTAAAAGTATGCAGACCTCCAGCAAAGGCAATGGGAAAGAGGTTCCAGAGATGGATCAAAGCTGTCAGCTGAGTGATGAGCCAAGCAAGCTCAGAATGATTGCTGGTGGGGAAGATGCCTGGACCATGAAGAACCTTTACCGCTCCACACCAAGGGAAGTAATGTTGGCACTGGCACCTCCGCCACTGCCCATGGGCAGTTCCAGGCTGCAGGGAGGAAGTATGTATCAGTACTTATGAGGACCCATCTCTATGACCCTAAGGCAAAACCCTGCTAAGGTCTACAGTGAGCACAGCCTCCCTCCAGGGAAGGAGTTGCTGAGGTCTTGTTTCTGAATCTGCCCACGGGGCATCTCCTCACCCAGCGAGGCCAGGTTGCTGTAGTTCTCCAGCATCACCTCTCGGTACAGGGTCCTCTGAGAGGGATCCAGCTTCTTCCACTCATCCCGAGTAAAGAGCACAGCCACGTCTTCAAATGTCACTGACACCTGCGAGGAAAAGCCAACTTGAGGAGCTCTGAGGCCAAGTAAGAGACCCTGACTCTAAAGATCTGGAGAGCCATGGGAGAAGCCATTACACACACCTGTACATCCTAACACACAGACGTGCCCATCCAAACCTATCACCAAGTACACGAGAATATACACATATATATATGCATGCATGCACACCACATCACAAATACATATACAAGAAAGAAAAACTTAAAGGAAAACATATAATCCACAAAGTAAAAATGGAAAACAAACCACTACCAGGAGCTGGAGAAGGCTGGGGAGCAACATACGGACTGTCAGGAAAAGGAAATAAATAAACAAACTTGTTAAGGGCAGAGAAAGAAACACAGGGGCGTGAAGGGCCAGAAAAGAATTTTCTCAAGCATGTATGTGTGTTCTGTTCATGCTCCTGGCATGTTACTTGTGGAATCTGTGGGCATACACCAGACTGGGATTAGGCAACAAAAGCCTGTCTATCAAGAAATACAGAAGTCTGGAATGTGAACATGGGGTGCGCTTCCCACAGAATCCACCACCCATGGAAGGAGGCCCAACTCCTCCAAGGAAGACATGGGCTCCATATCCTAGTGAAGACTGGGCTGTGTGGAGAACTGCCAGGAAGGAAGAAAAACAAACAAAACTCTCTCCTTCCACTAAGAAGTGAAATGGCAAGGCGCTTACTTGAGACCTCGCTTCCCTTTGCTCAGGAGCCATGCTCTTTCTGCAGGTTCTTCTTCCAAAGGTGGGTGAAGGTGGAGGAGGATCTGGAGGAAGAAAAAGGAGAAAAGGGTAGTACCTGTTGCTTCGCATCCCTCAGAAGCCGCATTTCCCAAAGCCTCCCATCAGCTGAGCCTGGCTCTTCTGCCTCCAGAACGGGAAGAAGGAGCTGAGGGCGGGCATCAGAGAATCACGGGTCCCCAGACTTCATGTCCATGGATTTCCAGAAGCAAGACTCTAGACACTAGACTCCATCACAGAGGGGGCTCACTACGCCCCCATATGTCAGGCATCACTCCTACACTGTTCACGTCTAAGTTGGCACTGCCCAGCCCCTTCAGACAGGAAACTGATAACGGAGCGCAGCCACAGTGGGCACAGTGGGGTTTTACCCATTCAGATCTGTCCACAGCCAGGGGCGGTGTTCCTCCTCCCCACGCCTTGGCCCCCAACTGCACTGCCGCTGTCAAGGGGTCGATTTCCTTCAGAACTCCAGAGAAAACTCAGAAATGGATTCAGGGGCCCAGGACAGGAGGGCTGCACGGGAAAGATAACCTGGGCTGGCCCTGCCCGACCGTGGGGAGCACGCTCTAGAGCTGAAGCAGCTGGAAACGCGCATTCCTCCGCGTGCCCGAGGCCGGGGGCGGGGACGCGAAGGAGGCCACGCCAGGCCGAACCCAGCCCAGCCCAGCCCCCGCTGGCATCCGAATAGACCAGGCTTTCGCTCACCTTGCCCCCGGCTCCCGCCGCGCCTCACAGAAGCTCCGGGAGGCCGCGCGTGGGACTTTGCCCAGGGACCTTGGACTCGAGCCTCGAACTGTGCCACAGACGGCCTATGACTCGCGAAGGCTCACGGTGGGTCCGTGCTAGGGGCCGAGGGTGGTGGCCGCGGAGGCCTCTGGGTAATGTAGTCCACTCAGAAACCCAAGGATTCTGGGATTTGAAGTTCCTCTGTTTGTATGGGCTGCAGTCCGCTCAGCTACTCAGGTTCGTGGAAGCCTCAGAAGCAGGTAGTGGACACTGGCAACCAAAGACCAGCTTGTTAGGTAAATAGTAAAAGATGCTGTAGGTTCGTGGAAAGGAACCTGACACGAAGTACCCTTTGAAAGAGCTTTATTATAAGGTATTAGTGGAGCTGGAGAGGGGCTGAGCGGTTTAAGAGTCCCTGCTGCTCTTGCTGAGTTCAGTTCCCACTACCCATATCAGATTGCTCACCATGGCAGGTAACTCTAGCGCCTGGGTTCCAGCGTCCCCTTCTGGCCTCTCCGGACAGTGATTGCATTTCGTGCTCATAAATAAGTCCTTAAAATTCATCTTTTTCCCCCCCGCAAATGAAGAAAAGGGGGCGGGGGCAGGGAGAAGAGTTATGAGAATCAGGTCACATGTAGCCACGACGGGGACCTGGTGAGGAAATCAGACCCTTCAGCTCCCAAGAACAGGAATTCCTTATTCCTGTAAGTTTGGGAAAGGAAGTGTTCCCCACCGCATGACCTAACCTGTGTGCCAGGAGTCACAAGGCAAGGCAGGAAGGCACTAAATATATAACTAAGCTATAATTCAAGGTTGTCTTGGGAAACTGTGGGAGCTGGGCTTGTAGCTGAGAGAGGAGGAGAAATAACTCTGTGAGCCTTGCAATGTCACAGCAGGTTGTGTCTCTACTCTCAGTCCAGAGAGGGAGAGGCCGCGGGCCGCGGGGTGTGAGGTCTGACTTTTCAAAGTCCAAGACAAAGACAGCTGTAGGATCTGTGTTCCAACACTGCTTTGTGCCAAGTCCTATTATAAGCCATTTGAAAAACATCTGTAAGACAAACATCATTACCCCAAAGTACTTTTTTTTTTTGTAAAAGACAAGAATCAGATGATAAGCTGTGAACATAATTAAGGACTTGTAGGATAACTGTAATGAGAAAACAACACCAACAACAAAAGAGTAAGGTGAAGGACAGCCTGGACAGATCAGAATATGGAGCCCAGACCTGAGGCAACAACTCAGGAGAGGAGAAACTGTTCTTGTAAATTCTGTGGCTGTGACATTCACCTGAGAAGGTTCTAAATAAAGGGCTAGCTTGGGGTCATGCTCTGCAAATTTATAGTCCTTACCCAGCTGCCTCCATTGTGTGTCGGTTGATGGCAAGGCAGAACATCTTCAGAAGAAAGGCATAGAATAGAAAAGCTGTGCACTTGGTGACAGCTGGGAAGCAAAGAGAAGCTAACAGGAAGAGGCTGGGGAAAAATAGACCCTTCAAAGACACCTCTGGAAGCCCACTTTCTCCAGCCAGGTCCCACCTTCTACAGTTCCATAACACCCCAAAGTTGGTTGAAATACAAAGACCATCGATGCATTAAATCAGTATCTATGTAACAGCCCTTATGAGCAAATCCTCTGTGGACAAGCTTAGAAACAGCCAGATGTGTGCTTTACCAAGCTCTTGTGTACCCCTCAATCTAATGAAACTGACAACCAATAGAAATCATCACAGAGATCTTAGAGGAACAGCCAGTGGATAACTGTTGAAGCTAGACATTTTTATTTATGGGGGCCTTCAAAATGGCTCAGTGGGCAAATCACCTACTGCCAAGCCTGACGGCCTGAGTTCAATTCTGGGAATTCTCACAGGTTGTCCTCCGGCCTCCACACATGCCCTGTGGCATGTACACCATCTATACACTCACAATAAATAAACATGAACATTTTCCATTGCTTAATCAATTTGGGGGTGGCACTGGAGAGTGAACCTGAGCCCCTAGCTGCCCGGGCAAGCAATCTCCCTGAGCCACATCCCCAGCCCTCTTTTAACTTTTGAGACAGTCTCATGAAGTTGTCTGGGCTAGCCTGGAGCTTGCTCTGCAGAAGCTGGCCTTGGGTTTTCACTTCTTTGGCCTCAGACTCTGAGTTAGCTGATATGATGGGCGTTCCCAGGCCAGGCTAGTAAGCATTCCCAGTCATAATGTTCTCCAAAATATTCTTGGTGCCCAAATGTTCTTGAGTAGATATTAGTGGTTAGGGTTTTTGGCTCTTTTAACCCCAGCTTAACCTGTCATTCATGTGTGCTTCACTATTAACAGCTGGAGCCCCAGAGTATTTGTTGCAGCTAGGTAACTTTTAAAGCTCTTAATTAACGTTTGTTTGTTTGTTTCAGTGTATTCAACTGAAGTTTTTTCGCTAGTTGCTAATATTATTTTTAAGTTTTTTTTTTTTTTATTCCATCAACATCCTTGAAACTACATCTTTGAAGATTATTTACTTCAATTTCTTGAAATCAAATTGCTGTGTCGAAAAAAAACCTGCTAAATTCTAAGATGTTTGAGTCCACTGCCCTCCCGGGAGAATTTACAGTTCAAATTTTCAGTATTGGTTGATGACAGTTTGTATCTTGTACCAGCATCCACTTGGGATTTTTTTTTTTTAAGTATTTCTCTGTATTTAGGAGAGATGTGATTTTGTCTGCTTGATTGTTTGTTTAGTATGTAGTTTTGGAAACTTGTGAAATTATGCATAACAAAGGAAAATGTTATCCTTTTTTGGTTGTGAGCCTAGCCTTTAACGGCTGAGCCATCTATCTAGCCCTGTGTTATCCTTTTTTAATAGTCTTGCTCTGTTGACCAGACTGACATCAAAATCTTGATCCACTTTTCTCCCTTACTGCCTGGAGTCTTAGGATCACAGGGATTGCCACCATCCTTCCCTTAGGACTCTTTTCTTGGCAGTGGTTTGGATTTGAGCTGGTAGTCTGTCCTACTGGCCATTTTTATTGCGATTTTATTATTTCATAAATTCTTTATATTTTTCTATATATTACCAAAAACTTTTTCAGGTTTTCTATCACCTATCTACCTACAAACCTATCATCTGTTTGTGTAGCTATCAGCTATCTGTCATTTGTCTGCTTATCATCTATTAATATAGGTCTCTTTCCACCCATGTGTTAAAGCCCTAGCTACCAAGCTGTTGGAAAAAAGGAAGTCCAGTCAGTGAGTGTGACACTGAGGGTACATCAGGAAGCCAGTCACTTCTACTTTCTCTCTGCTTTCTGGCTTCTACTGAGGAAAGCTTAGCTCCATCACACACTCCTGCACAGTGAGTGTGACACTGAGGGTACATCAGGAAGCCAGTCACTTCCACTTTCTCTCTGCTTTCTGGCTTCTACTGAGGAAAGCTTAGCTCCATCACATGCTCCTGCAATCTTTCTTGCCAAGATTCCAAAACAGTGCAGCTCAAAATGATGACCCTGAACTGAATATTCTGAAATCGTGAGCCTAAACAAATCTTTCCTCTTTTTCATTTTATTTTCTCAAGTATTTTGTCACAGCAAAACTGTGACACACACGTACATACACACACACACTTCTTGGTCTGTGACTGCCTATTTATTTTTGCCTTTTTGTCTCAGGATATCTTTTCAGGGGAAAATATCAACTTTCATATTGCTTTTTGTTTTTGTAGATAGTGCATATTCATCCTATTTAGGAAGTTCTTATGCTCACCTAAGGTTGTCGAGATTTTCTTCTAGACCCTGTTTCATGAGCATTAAAGCTGTGCCTGTTATTTTAGATCTATGACTCTTTTTCAGATGATGTTTCTTTTGTTGTTATTTATGATATAAGGTACATGGTGAGATTTCACTCTTTCTCTGTGTGAAAATCTACTGGAACCAGGACCGTTTGTTGCAAAAACTCCCTCACTTCAGCAAATCACCTCAAAGTCTTTACAAAACCCAATGAACTTCATACTTAACCACATTCAAAGTGCTGGGTCCAACCCCTGATATCTGCTTCACTCAAGACGTCATGGATCTGGGTGTCCACTTCTTGCCAAAGTGGAATTACAGGGACTAAGTTCATTTTTCTGTTGTGCTGGATGGAGCCTGCTGGCCGAGTTGAACGGTTCTTGAGTCGGGAGTGAGGATTAAAATTAATAAACCAACACACAACACATGGGACCTTTCTGAGAGGCTCTAGTAGAAGCTAGATGCCTTGCTTTATTCCAGACTCCTTTTAAGCCAGAGCAAAAGCACCTCAGCATAAAGAGTAAATTCACAAGGAAGTCAAGCAAAAGGTCTGACTTTGACAAGACACTCTACCTGCTGTCTCCAACAAAAGGAGATAGACTTGGAAATTCATCACTGACTCCAGTGAAGGCCATGGTGAAGGCAGTCTTTCTGCTGAGATCTAAATATCAAAGCAGCCTGGCAGACCAACGGCTCCCAGCACTGTTGAGTGCTGGATAAGATGAGAGAGGAGCCAATTTCAGACAAATGAAACAAATGAGGGGAGCCTTGCAGGTACCCCAGCTTCTTGCCCTGAAGGGTTCCCAGCTCTGGCACAGAATAGGCACATAGGTGAGGCCCACAGACTTCCTGAGTAGAGGAGATTGAGCTGAGAGCCCAGGGCTACCAGGACACCTGGGGGCTGCAGGAGAAAGTGGTGATGAGAGCAGAATTACCCCTGGCTACAGAGGCTGCTGTGTACTTAGTGGACTGATGACTGACACATGTCAG